CAAAGGCGTTGACACCGTCTGCCATTCTACGCTACTAGAAGATATAGAGGCCTCCTCTCTCCCACAGAGGCTCAAACGGTGGTCGGCAAGTTATCTGAGTGGTCGACACTCGTCGGTAATGCTTAGAGACAAATCGAGTAAACTCAGAAAAATAAAACAGGGGGTTCCACAGGGTGGTGTCTTTTCCCCGCTACTGTTTAACTTTTACATTTCAACGCTCCCTCAACCACCAGAGGGAGTCTCGATTGTCTCTTACGCCGACGATTGCTCGATCATGGCGACTGGGAATGGAATTGATGACCTGTGTTCGAAAGTAAACGGGTATCTCTCCGAACTTTCTCGCTTCTTCACTGCAAAGTGTCTAGCCCTCTCCCCTACGAAATCCTCTGCGACCCTGTTCACAACCTGGACGAAGGAGGTCAGGCTACCGCTGGGAATTCACGTCGATGACACACCAGTTCCGACGGTGAATAACCCCAAAATACTCGAAGTAACATTCGACAGCCTGCTCTCCTTCTCTGCGCACGCAACCGCTATTGTCAGTAAAGTACAGAGCCGCAACAAAATCCTCAAGTCGCTAGCCGGCAATACTTGGGGCAAAGACTAAGAAACGTTGCTGGCAACATACAAGGCAATAGGTTTTAAACTACGCAGCGCCAGTGTGGTCGCCGGGGACTAGTAGGACGCAGTGGACGAAGCTACAGTCTGTACAGAACACCGCACTCAGGACAGCTACAGGATGCCTCCAGATGTCGCCCGAACATCATCTCCACGGCGAGGCACAAATTCTCCCCATAAAGGAGCACAACATAATGCTCTGCAAGCAGTTCCTGATCGGGAGCCACAGAAGTGGCCACCCAAACAGACAGCTGCTTGCAGAGGAGCCCTCGCCTAGGCACGTCAGGAGGCATCTACATGAACTGACGGACGCAGTCCAGAGGTTCATCAAGCAACCTCTGGACCCGTCAGGTTACCGACTGGCCCTGAACGGCATTCACAGGGAGTCAGTCTCGAGTTATGTAGACTCTAGACCTGTGAATGCCGTTCAAGGCATACCGCCCCCGGACATAGACGAGACGGAGCTTCATCAGCCTCGGGAGACACGAACGACAATAGCCCAACTTCGCTCTGGCTACTGCAGCAGGTTAAACTCCTACCTGAGTAGATTGAATGAGGATGTGCCAAATGAGTGTCCGGCATGCGGAGAGACCCCACATGACTCGAAANGGGCTGCCGTTAGTGGAACTTGACGACAACGACTGAGATACCAACCGATCTGGGCGGGGTTGTTGTAGCCGCTACAACAACAACAACAACGAAAACCAAAATTAGCCAAAATTATTGTCGGCCACTTTAAACGCACAATTTAGGTAAAATGATGCAGCAAAATTCTTTAAAACGTGTTGTCATGTTGAATTAACTCTACTTTACTTGAATAAAAGTGTAAAATAGTGGTGCTTGTGATGTAAACAAACGCTCAGTTGACGAACCCGCTTTCGCAAACTTTTTTCTCAAAACCAGTTACAAATACAACGTCGCGTTCTTACGTGATCTTGTATTTTTGATTCTTGTACTAAAAGTGTCTTAACATCTGTCGAATTTCTGTTTTAATTTTGCCCTGTTTTCTCATGTGGGCAACTTGCTGTGTCTAAAAAATTACCACAAACAACTCAGAATATAAAAATATACGCAATTACTCACATTCGCGATCTCTTTTGGTTAAATAGAAAATAACACAGGGTTGCTACAAAGCTGTCAAGACAAATAAAGAATCGCGTGTATGAACGTACTTAATTTAGTGAGGTATTTTAAACGAAACTAAGTATTTTATGTTGGTAATGTGAACATAGTTTTGGGGCTGGTTGCTCAAAGCCTGGTTGACACTAATCATCGATTAACATCGTTATCGACCACGATTGAGAGAATACAAAGGTTGCGCCGATCTCGGACCGCTATTCCTCTCTTAACGAATTTGACAGAATCGCTGTTTGCATGACGTCACACTGGTGCAACTTGTTTACGTTTTCCTTGCAACATTTTTTCTTCTTCTTCCATTCTTGCTCACGTTTTGGCATTTCTCTCTCGCAATTGCACCAGTGTGACGTCACACACAAGTTATTCTCAAAAATCCTCTCCGATCGGCGCAATCTTGTATTCTATCATTCTTGGTTATCGACGTTTTCGACTCCATGCATACAACACCATGGTCCAACTACGCAAGATCTGACAAGATGAAGCAAAAGAAAAAAGTAATTTTCTGGCTGACGTTTGTAATTTCGGCGCCATGTTATTTTGCTGTGAAAAGTAAACAAAGAATATGAAGACGAAGCATGAAGAAAAACTGCAAGCAATCTTGTGCACATGTTTGTGCTGACCAATGTATTATTTTTGTACGTGTTTTTGCATCCAATCACCGCGCACTTCATTTTAATTACATTTGCACAAAAAATCACTGAAATAAACCACCGACAAAATACACATACAGAAAGAAGCAAAACAGAAATAGCAAACTTCAAAATTACGAACGTCACACACTTTTTTCTCAATCGCTATTACAAATGGCTGCTTCTCAACCGGTCAGATCTGTTCTAATTGGTTCATGATACAACACGGTGTCGTTAACGTCGATAACGATGTTTAATTGACGATTAGTGTCAACCAGGCTTTGAGCAACCCGCCCTTAATATATCACTTTCCAAATGGCATCCGGTCAATCACATCGATCTGTAAGCGGTAAAGTGGAAAACTGAGTTGTTTTTAGCTTAAAAAGCTCTCGCGAAATGCGTATTATAATACAACGTTCACGTTCGACATTTTTTCAAAATGAAATGTCATAACTATTGTCAGGAGGCCTACGCCACGGAGACAATTATCAGGGTTTTGACAACTAATACGTATTTCTTTATTAAATCTGATCCAGTACTCCATGAAATTACAAGTTTTTACACGAACTTGCGGCAAAGGACGTAGATTGTTATCTACGCTCTTTGGTATTGGATCAGAGCTTTTGTCTTGACAGCATTACGCGCCGTTAACAACGAATACGTAATAGTTTTCACTACGTAGTTGTGTAGTCTGACCTTTAGCTGTAAAATCTTTACAATCTGGCAGTATTGGGTAGAAATGATAGATGAAAGCAGAATTTTTTCCTACGTTGGTGTTTTTCAATGGTCTGTGAAAATAATCGCGTAAAAAGTGGAAATATTGCAAGAATATAGTGTTTCCTCACAGAATTGTCCACTCCACCCACTTACCACATTTTTCCCGACCACATTTATATCCTTTGGTGCAGTATTCAAGTTGTAAAGCCCGTTTTGGATACGCAATATGGGAAATTCTGACTCAAAATTGAACTTCCGCAAAGCCATAGTACAACTCACACAGAAAAACCAAAAAATTGACACCGACGATCAATTTTGGGACCAATTTTGGTACGCACATCAAACTTCTTTAGAAGATGTTTTCGCCTTGGTCACATCAGCCGAAATACGAAATATACGTAATGAAAATCCTGCCAACTTGGCGACATTGTGTTACAAGGCCGTGGAAAAGTTGGCCCTGGCCGTGGATAACAGTTGCCGCACACATGTGGAACAGCAATGTGTTTTGAATTGTGTACGACTATTAATACGCATATTACCATACATATTTGAAGATGANATTTATACTTCTACTATTATCCGGTGCGTATATTTGTTAATGAGATATATTTCAAAAGGCTTTATTTATTCTTAATTACAGGTGAACGTAACTTTGGTGTACGTCTCAACAAACCCTACACCGCCACGGTGCCCATGGATATACCAGTTTTTACAGGAACTCACGCTGATCTATTAATTACGGTTTTTCATAAAATCATAGCTACAGGCCATCAACGCCTGCAACCACTCTTTGACTGTCTACTTACCATACTTGTGAATGTGTCACCTTATTTAAAGACTCTGTCAATGGTGGCCAGTGTGAAGCTTCTGCATTTGCTAGAAGCTTTTAGCACTCCATGGTTTCTGTTGTCAGCGCCAAATAATCACCACTTAGTATTCTTCTTGCTTGAAATCTTCAATAATATCATACAATATCAGTTCGATGGCAATTCCAATTTGGTTTACACCATCATTCGAAAACGACATGTATTTCACGCGATGGCAAATTTACCCTCGGACATGGCGGGTATCGCAAAATGTTTAAGTGGACGAAAAGTCGGTAAATTCAATATACCACCAGTGCCCCATTTAAATGCAAAGCATCTCTCTGCTATCAGCGGTCGCCCACTAGATGCCGATTTGGATGACGAGGATTGTGAGTCTGAAACCGAGTCACAACATAAGCAAAGCGAGACTCAAGAGGAAAATGCAATGCCAGCAATGCCTGCCGAGCCGGGTACTCTGAAAACTTCATTACTGGACACACCTGCCATTAATCAAATGACAGAACGCGAAGCAGCACACCCCAGCACTGAAGATACGCAAACGCCCACCATTGATGGCACCTCTGACATTTCCCAGTTTGAACATGTAAATCGTACACCCACTAGTCCAAATCGCCACGATATCTCGCGTCGTAGCAATACTTCTTTAAACTCAAACGACGGCAACTCCATACCAAAAGAGAATCAGTCGCGGCTCTCCGTTGCTACACGTGGCAGCATACGCATGGTGCCGAATACACCGGCTGATCACTGGACGCCAACGCCCGAATGGATCGTATCGTGGCGTTCGAAGTTACCATTGCAAACTATTATGCGACTATTGCAGGTACTTGTGCCACAAGTTGAAAAGATATGCATTGATAAGGGGTTGACAGATGAATCGGAAATATTGAAATTTTTACAACATGGAACACTGGTAGGTTTGCTACCTGTGCCACATCCTATACTTATACGAAAGTATCAGGCGAATGCTGGCACCACTGCATGGTTTCGCACCTACATTTGGGGTGTAATCTACTTGCGTAATGTAGGACCATCCATATGGTACGATACGGATGTGAAACTTTTCGAAATTCAGCGAGTCTGAATTCGATGCAATCGTCTGAGCTTAGACACTATAAGTGAGGTGGTTCACACTTGCCTGGTTATAAGGTTATCTGGTTATATTTGTTGTTTAGTTTACAACAATAAAATACACTACGGAATAATAGTTTTTAACCAGATAACCTGAGCAGGTTCAATTAGAATAACCACTGTAACTTTTTTTAGGGTATATATTTGCATAACACGCATTCCAGTAATGCTGCTGAGTCGAGGGCGACTAAAGTAATTAAAATTTATTACCATATTAAGTATACAATGCCTGAGATTTTGACAATTCATAACTTTATTTTAAAGCTTTGTAGTAAGTAATTTTTGTGTATTTACGGATTCTTTAAACGTTTTGCCTTCACGTGTGCATTTTTATTAGCTACAGTTTGTAAATATGTAATATGACAAGGTATTTTAAGTTAAACGTGTTCTGATTAGAAAAAGTAATCAAAAATCCTTTGAAAGAAGCTAGCGCTAGATGCGATTCTAATTTATTTATATTTTATTAAGTTACATTTATAAGTAAAAGTTAAATTAACGATAAAAAATATTATTTTATGATGGAAGAAACTTGTTCGAAGTCACCTATAATATATACATACATAACCTAAAATATAATGTATTCTACAAAACACATACTTACATATACGTATAGATATATACTAAATAGTTACAACTATATGCAAATGAGAGTTCTTAAACGAATAAAATATTGCAAATAAAAAACTATATCTGTAGTTATGTCGTTTTAATTACCCAAGGCAATGGTTGGCATTCCTGAAACGACTCCTACTGATATTTGGCTGTGGATATTTCCGATTTTATGTATTTCAATTCTCATTTTTTAATCATTTTCTAATTTAAATTGCTGTAAATATACTCCATATTCTGATTACTCCGAATGTTATCGGAGTGTTTCATCGATAACCGCATTGGTACATACCTAGACTAAAACCTGCTGTTTAATCAGCTGATTGTTCAATAAGAAAAAAAAACATCCAAAACAAAAGTAAAAGCTGAAGCTGTGGACTCCGCGATTTATTTGCCTTGATTGAAGTGAAAGTATTCCAACATGAACCAATTACTCCAAAAATCTACCAGAGCCTTGTGCTATTCGTTTACACACAATAATTTCCAGCTATCGGTATGTGCCCGCACGAAAAAGACCGATGCATTGAGCTCTACGACAGCCAGGGGTACCAGCAATGTGGGTACTGCGCGGCAACAGAGCGTCAATTCATTGTCCAAAATAACACTTATCCAACCCAATCAATCCATTATTGTGACAACGTTGAAAGAAGCACAAAAATTGGCCAAACGCCGAGAGTTGCACTTAGTCAAGCAACAGGATTTCGATACGAAGACACAACGTTCAATTTATAAGTATGTACAGATATACTAAAAGTTGAAAATTTATTTGAATTACATAGTTATCTTGTCTAATATTGTAGGTTAGTGACCGCAGCAGAAATGCTTTCCGAGGATGTGGATGAGAGCGCAGTTGATCGAATGAAAAGGTAAATTTCACATACATAGCCTTTTTTATAGCGCTGTATAATTTACAATTTTGACACATTCAGCAGCGAAAAAAGGTCTGAGAAATCACTAACGATTGGTTCACGTATCTCGGACCATGATTTAGAATCACGCTTGAAACACATTTCGAAATGGTTGGCGAAAAATCACGAAGTGTGCATACTCGTACAAGGTAGCCCCGAGGAAATGGCTAAATGTGAGCAAATTTTCAAAACCATCGAACAAAGCGTCAAGGAGCCGGAAGTAATTGGACGCGTTGTGCAAAAGCGTGGCAAAGGTTCACACATTAAATTTACTATTCGGCCTGTACCAAAGCTAGAACCAGAAACTGAGAAGCAAGCATGACATGAGATGCCCGTGCCTCGGAGCCATATCGTAGCCGGTGCACGGCATTACTCTACACAGCTACTTACACAACGTTCGGCTGCAACTACTATGATTGATGTAGTTAATTGCAAAAACCTTAGCTCATCATTTGATGAAGACAACAAAAGGCCAGTTATTGTGTTCGGCGTTTTTACAGCCATAATTTTAGCTTCTAAATATATCTACTGGTTTAAAGTGATGAGAAGTAAAAAGGACGGGTAAAATTTAATATGAATATAGTACGATCTGTAAAAAGCCACTTGTTATTATGTACATAAGTATGTATTTTCTTAGAAATTTCAAATTGCATAAGTTTAAAACAGCGGAATCAAAATAAATACATTTACTTATCTATACATATATCTTTTCAACCTACGCATTGTTTTCGGTAGATATGTACTGTGAAACCTCGATATCACTATAAAACGAAAAATTCTATATAACAATACTTTGGTGGGTCCGCTGAAAAAACCTTTCATACAAAAATGCTCCATAGATATAATGAAGAAATTTTGAGCATGAATAACACCCCGTTATAAATCTATATTTATAAAAAATTGTTTCCAAAATTTTGGATTCTTCATTTTATCGAGGTTTTGATATTCTGGATACATATGGGCAAATCTAAAATCAGGTACACTTTCAAAAGAAAAAGTTGAATTTTTCATTTGTGGGCATACCTATGTTTTATATATGATTATATTCGTAATCTCTTTATAAATATCGATAAATCTATGTAAGTGTAATTCATTTTCATCAAGTGCTTCAAAAGTTATACGAGGAATAACCCGGCAAACATTGAGGTTAGTTATCGATTAGAGAATGATTGGAGGACTAGCCACTTTCTCCAATCTCAAACGTTAGAGAACGACTCGAAAAACTATCGAGAATCATAGCAATCTCAACAAAAATGGGACATAGTTCTCGACTCGAGAAAATATTGATTCTCTAATCGTATTCCAATGTTGATCTCTAATGGGATTCGAGTGTGAATTTCAAACTGCTGTTTTGCCTTGCTTTGTTTGTAAAATTTGTATTAAATGTATTTGCAATAAAATAATAATGAATTATTTGAACTTAAAAATAATTTATGAGTACATTTATTTGAATTTGCGTTGTTTCTCTAATCGTTCTCGAATCGAATTCTAATGTAATTATCTAACTTCGTCATCGACTCGAGAACGATTAGAGAATTACCTTATTTATCTAATGTAGAAATCCAAATTTCTCTAACGTTAGAGACTGTGTTTGCTGGGAAATATTTAGATCGCTGAAATAGAAAACAAAAGAATAAGATGGGTTCAAATTATGCTGTGCAAGTTGTAAATTTTGAGCATAGATTTTGAATGGGACGCTCTAAGTTCAATGACATCCTCCGTTTTACCAAATGGGCTTCGGTTTTCGAGATAACGGTACTTGAAAATTTGATTAAATTTTAACTATTTTATAAATAACTCCCTCAGTTTTGAAGTTATTTTACTAAAATTTTGCACATAACGGTTTTTTAATATTACCTTAATTATCATTTAAAATTATCGAAATAAGTTCACTTTAACAATGCAACTGATTACTCAGACATCTGTTTTTGCGCTATCTTCATATCTGAGTAATAAATTGTATGCCTGCTATATGTCAAAGTGAACCTATACTAAATTTTTACCTGCTTAATTGGAGGAGTTATAACGCAAAATAACGTCTCTAACAATCAGCTGTATGGGAGCTAGATGTTATAGTGAACCGATTTCGATGATTTTAAGAGGTAGTGAATGCAATATTATAATACAGTCGTGTGCAAAGTTTTAGCAAAATATCTTCAAAGCTGAGATAGTATTTTAACAAATAGTTAAAATTAAAGCAAGGTTTAAAGTACCGCTATCTCGAAAAGTGAAGCCAATCGGGCAAAACGCCATTAGATTTAGAAGGCTCCAATTAAGTAAGAACCTTTGTCGAAAAAAAGTTGCGTTGCTACCACGCTCGAAATATTCTGACTACAAGAAGGTTTTTTACACACTTCTAGTGAAATTTTTTTTGAAGCATTTCCAAGCATATGTAAGGCCTAGTAGTTATTAAAAGATTTAGATCGTTTCGACGTATATTCCAAATGCACCTGCAATTAAGATGTTTTTGGAATAAAAAATACGCTAAAGATCACAGAATATTTTATTTTTAAAAGTTGGTTTATTCTGAAAGCACACCTCTTGCTAAGGTATCAAACTATTCGTAATTGTTTGTAGAATACAATGCATACTTAAACAGTTTTTAAAACTTCGTTGGAAATAAAGCAAAACCAATTTTTTTTTATTATTTCCCATTTAAAAGTGAAATAAAGCAAATTTTGCGTTATTGCCGTTTGTGTTATTTTTATATAAATAAGCCCTATTTTCTTTACATACTGGCGCTTCAATTTTAAAGATCCTGTTTCATGCTCAAAAATAAGAATATTTTTCGCTTAATCTCAGTTTTTTTTTAATTTATTTGTTTTGGCGAAAAACTTATGTGTCATATCTTTAACTTAAGTGTAAATTATGTTCATACTCACACATAGATATGTATTTTTTGATTTATTTAAATAATTGTATAAATAAAAAATGCATCTAATGCAAACCTAACCTAAATAAAAATTTCTTACCGTATAAAAATATGTATTTAAAAATTAACTTAAAATCTAGAATATTTCCTACGCAACTTCCTTGGCTCATTCGCTCTACTACAGCCTCGCCGCTGTTTCCTCAGCAGCAACTCCTCGTTTCCCGGCGAGCGACATGTCTCTTCGCACATTTCCAACGATGTGAATTTATTTTCATTCTTATCACAACTATTGGCTGAAAAGAGCATACACTCGTCTTCACAGTAGTTGTAGAACCAATAATTTCTCACCGTCCCCGAACTGAGACAAGGATACATGGTTAGCGTTTTAAAGCAGTATGCTGGTGTTTCCACAGGCTCAGTATCGAGATCTTCTTCTAAATCTCCTACCGGATTAAAGCGTGAATAAGGACGCCGGTTTCTGCCTCGATTATTTGGGCTTTCGAAGGCGTCTTCCTCCTGATCCACTTCGTTTTCTTCCTCATCAGGTCGTCTGCCGCCGCCGTAGAAACGATTGTTGTAACCGAATCGATTCGGAGAACGGTTACCCTCATTGACTTCAGCTTGGTCGTCGTCATTCGAATTACCTCTACGCTGACCCGCTATGTTATAACGGTTACCATAGCCGTAACGATTATTTGGTAAGTTGCCGTATTTGTCCTCGTCCTCTTCACCATTTTCGTCCTCATCCCCTCCGTCTTCGTCTACTTCCTCTCCTTCCTGCTCATCCTCTTCGTCCGCATTACGATTTTGTTCCTGCGAATTGGTTGGTCTCCTATAGCCATAACTGTTTCTGCCACGATTTTGCTGCCAGTTACTAAAATCCGGTTTTGCTAAGTCTTCCTTCTCATCTACTTTTTCGTTTTCAACTTCGACGGCATTGTCCTGGTGCTCGTCTTCTTTTCTTGCTTCGACTCCACCATTTTCCTCATTTTCTTCGACTTCTTCCTCTTTTTCATTCCCGTTTTCTTCCTCCTCCTCCTCGTCGTGGGCTTCAGTTTGCTTGTCGTCCTCTCCTATTACCTGGTTTCTGCGTCCACCTCGCACGCCTTCCAAACATTCTCGTCCCATACATTTCTGATACTCTACTAAGCGCGCATATTTCACACCCTGACATCTGGCTTCCGCCATCGGATTTACATATTGACGTCTGCGCATCATTCTACCCTCACCGCAGGTACGACTGCAAGGCGACCAAGCAGCCCAGCCAGTCAATTGACAATCCGCCCGTGATATTGATCCAGTTGAGTCTTCTCTTTCCTCTCCTTCTAGATAATCATCTTCATCGTTTCTATCCCGACCTCTCACTCTATCAAATCGTCGCTCATCACGTCCACAATCTTCGCCCATACAGCCGCGATCTTGTCGCATTTCCACCTCGCAATCGAAGATGTTTGCCACTTCCGGCTGTTTGTAGACGCGCGTTCGGTATTGGCGTCCTTCACCGCACTTAGCAGTGCACTCACTCCACGCAGTCCAAGGATGAGTATAGCATTCGCGGGGAACATCGAAATTATTTGCTATAAGAGAGTAAAAATAAAGATCCATTCATCTCTCTAAATTTACCTATCCGACACACACTTACAGTCTTCATCTTCGCAAAGACGATCATAGAGTCTTTGTCGTCTAATCTTTAGTATAGCTAAGGGTTTCATAGGGGCGCCAGTATTGTCAAAAAATGGCGATCGGGGATCGTTTGGAAAGTCGGAGCGCATGCGACGTATTACATCAGCGGGAACTTGGGGCTGATCCGGTGACTGCAAATACGCTTATATATAATGCTCTCTTAAGAACTTATTCAAGTAATACTTACCGTATAAGAAGGCCCAGCATCAGTGCCGACATCCCACGGATACAAGGTAACAGTTTTCTGATCTAACCAAGTGCAATTGGGCACACAGAGCTCCAAACCCGACACTCCCACAATCCAATCAGGCGAAGGGTCTATTTTGGAAGCAAGTGATAGCAAATGATGTTGCGGATCCACGCGTATCGATGCTAGCGATTGCCCATTTAAGTTAGGAAAGGCAGGACCGCGCGCTTTAATTATAGTGCGTATTTTACCATCCTGGAAAATATATGAAAATGAAAGGCGCCTAATGAATTTGCGCCGTTTTCCATTACTCACCTTAAAGTTGTAGTTAAATTCGCGCTCCAGTGTCTGCGCCGAACCGTGCTCGGCAAATTCTTTCATACCTTCAGTAGCCATTTGTCCATACTCCCAGAAACGATAGTCGGCCGTATGCGAGGCGCCGACAATATCGCTGAAACGCGTTATCCAACCTTTCGCAGGAAAGTCTTTCGGATGCAGATTTCGCGACCAAGTACCTTCGAAAGTGAGCTATGAATAAGTGATTAGAAGAATTTCAGAATTATGACTTTTTAATTTTTAACTATGCATCAACAAACCTCATAGCGTGCCTCATCGCAAGCACAGCAGCTGTTCCTTTCTGCATTCGCCGGCGCACTTTCCACTTCGTCGACGCTTTCTTCGCAGATTCGTCGCGTGAGTCCACCATCGTCCATGAACCAAACATCACGGTGCTGTAACAACGTTGTGCGTATGAGCACACAACCATAGCCAGGTTCTTCGGGTGCTATCCATGAGACATCGATGCGCGTCTTCGGATTTGTGTTTGTGCTTTCTACCATATTGATACAATTCGGGCTGTAGCGTGTCTCTACGGGGTCGAGCAGCTCGAAATGCCCAAGATCTTGACTTAGACTCGGGTCGCCATTTTCATTTTCTAGCGCCAGCTTGAAACTGATG